GAAATTAACCTACTGCAGCTACTACTACAAAAACATGTTTCTATCTTGTTTGGGGGCGGGAAATGAAGCGTTTTCAAACTGCAGTATTTGCATCTGAAATGAACGTTATTGCGCGATCACGAATGGCAAGGAGTTGACTGAAGGCACTAGACAAGAGGGCAAGACAAATTGAAAAAAATGAAAGAAATGATGCGCAAGTTGAGAAAATATTGAAGAGTTAAGTGTGTGTGTGTGTGTGTGTGTGTGTGTGTGTGTGTGTGTGTGTGTGTGTTTGTGTGTCAACAAACAAAGAGAACAGCCAAAAAGAAATAGAGGAAGGAAAAAAAAGCCTGAGTGAATAGATGGAGACTGAAGAGCGGCCAAACCCTGCGGCCCTCACCTCAACCACATCTTCATAAGCTGCAGCGCCTCCCTCTTCCCTCGACCCAGACCAGCCTCGGGGCCTGCAATAAATACATTTTCAATTACAAGCACCGGGGAGCACAAGAGGAAGAGGAGGAACGAGGAAGGAAGGAAGGTGGAGGGCCCTCCAGGAGTCTGACACAATCCCTTGGCTTGACACCTCTGACCATATCATGATGTATATCAGTGTTATTGACGCATGCATGCGAGCTAATCACTGGTTGACTATTTGCACACACTCATCAAAAACGAAATAGTCATCTAGGGTGCATGCCTACTTCTTGCAAAAAGTCAGATGGGATTGGTTACAGTGCACACATGACCCAATGAGTACAAGCACTATAGAAAACTGATGGCTGGGTACACTGGATGACATTGATACTATCAAGCGTTGTCACGGATACCATTACCGCAACATACATAGCCTGGCATCTGGCAACATGGCATCCGTAAAGCAGGAGATAACAATTGAGTTTTGGGAGGAAGTGACTCTTAGCTTATGACAAGCCAAACAACATGAATTTCAGTTCAATGCATCCCAAGGCATCAACTTAATGGCATGTAAGTTGTATGACTTGCCAAGCATAACTGTGACAGCATGCGTTTCAATTGGGATCTACTTTGCGATCAGATATACCGAAAAAGCCAACAGCTGTCCCAACAACCGATGGAAACAAATACCACATTTTTAGCATCTTGACCAATTTTCAAAATTACAAGGTACTCCACACATAACACATGTGCGTGGAATGCTCTTACAGTACAGTGTGGTGTAGGCCCTACTCCTGACGACCAAAACAGCACACACGGAATGGCATCCACCACCAACAATTACAAGTCTCCACCATCCCAAATTTCTGGCAAAGTAACAAGAGAAACCTGTGAGAGGCAGCATGGCTACACAGGACATGTAGACTGCAGTAGAATATGGAAAAAGGAGAAATAAAAGTAGCTCGGCCAACTGTTAGCTGATCTGGGAACTAGAGTCTTTCTCTTTGTACTTTTTACTGTGGCAAATGACTTGCGAGACACGTTCGAAAAAACACTCACCACAATCATTTGCTCCTTTGTTTGTGTTCAGGAAAAACAGGAGAGCAGAGTAACCAAATACTGTACTCAAGTAAAAGCGCAAATTTTAGGTCGCTTCCTTACTGGCTATTAATGCGTTTGACGTTGTAATCATGCGCCTAAGGATTTGGGATTGTAAATACTGAACAGATTTCACATTTATGATTGCCGTCCCTGACTATTTTTCGAAAAAACTAATCTCAACACACTTCACATCACAGCATAATCGCTCCGAATAAGGTTCTGGAGACATTGGATAACTGGGCCTTTGCTGACTTTGATGAGAGGACGATGCAAATGCGCATACTTGGCCCGATTGTGTTAACTCAGCTTTAGCCAAAGTAAGAAGAACATTTTCATTCTGTGGGAATCTTGGCTATTCCTGATACAACACCGAACTCAAGTGGGCAGGCAAAAACCACCAAAGACTGAAGGTGGTATGTTTTTCCAGCACAAAACCGAGTGCTGCCTCAGCTCCTGTCACTATTGCGCCGCCCTGGGTGACGCTCTCTTTTCTGAGCACCGTGACCACTGTGGTAATTACCTGAAGAAAAAAAAAAATGGGAGAGGGAGGCCTAGCATTCCGGGAGCGTCACAGAGGCTGTGTTTGTGTGGGCTGCCCAATTCCCTGATTCCAGGGTGGATGTGAAGGGATTTAGCAGTGCGAAAAATCCCCCCACGCCTCATGCTCGCCTGTCGCTCTTCCACAACTCACCCCACCCACTCCTTGATCTGCCCTTGCCTCCCAACAGGGGAGGTGAAAGCGGGTGGGAGGGGAGCGATGTGCTAGAGGTCAACGCAAATATGTGGTCAGGCCTCCCTGGCTGGGAAAGGTCAGTAGGTTGGGCGGGCGGACGGACGGGCGGGCGGATGTTGTCATGACTGCTGATGCTGTAACGAGAGCAAAGTGGTACAGTTTGAGGTCGCATTCAAAATCGAATCATTTGTGTGTGAAGGTTTCATTGTCTGGCAGTGGCGGTGCGGTACGCTCCCCGGAGACGGCCAGTTTGCTGGCGTCATCGGCGCTAACGAGCAGTGCGCTGTTGCTGTTTCCACAGGGCTTGCCAAAAGCTCCCACACAGGGCCCCATTTCACGGCTGCGTGCTCAAGGTGTGGGACCCAGCGTGGGCCTCACAGCAGCTGAGAAAAATGATGTTTGGATTGTGTGTGTGTGTGCGCGTGTGGACAAGAGGCGGCCGCCGCAGTGAAACCCCACGCCGTTCTTCCGCCTCGATCCAATCAGCCCGCTTGGGGGGGGCCACCGGCCTCGGCAGGCAGGGGGTTATGTGAGATGTGGTCTGACGACGGGAGTCGATGTGATTGAGGTCTCACTCCAAGCGAACATGCAGCTTTTTTGACAGACGTTGGCCTCATGCTCGGGCTGAGGTCTGCAATTACGCAGGACATAAACACAGTGAGCAGAGGCTCGGCTGCAGCCCCAAAAGCCCCCGGGAATACATAATGGCACACAGCGACACTGCGGAGGCCACGGCGCCTCAGGCAAGCACCCACAGACGGCCATTGCGTGACTGAGGCAAGATGACCAGAGAGTAACACTGAAAGAGGGCGAGTGTCTGACGAACACGCCCACCACTACATCCAACCGGATTGTCTTGTGCAAGAGTCTGAGGTCATCCCTTGGGTTGTTTTAATAATATTTTCCAGAGCGGTCATTTTGACACAGTAAAATAGCAAATAGCAGGACACATACAGTTCGTTGGATGAAACCAAAATAATTTTTTTCAAGCGATTGTACAATTTATTTTACAGCTTTCAAATGACTTTTGCATTATTGGAAAGTCTAGCTGCCAAATTGAAGACTGTAAAAGGTCACTTCAATTAAATGTAAAACTTCGATATGTTCAATGGTACAGGGTCCAATTCCAATGAAGTTGGGACGGTGTATAAAACGGAAATAAAAACAAAATTCCATGATTTGCAAATCATTTTCAAACTGTATTCGACTGAAGACAAAGACAATATATTTTATACGTGCATTCACCCAGAGACTCGAGTATGTCACTTCTGCACTTTCATAAAACGTACGCTCGCTGGGTGGAGTGACGTTGAAATCAGAGATTTCCCTGACAAGTTTCTCAGCGAGTGCATTCTCCCGGAGACTGAAGCATCTTTCCTTCTCCGCACTCAGGAATCTGTACTAAGGACCAGCGTCTCTTGAAGAAACATCATATTGCACGTTTTGATTCAATTAACTGCTTCCGTGCGCTGCTGGCGAGTCGGCTGCTGATTCGTGCTGGCGGGTTGGCGTTTGTCTGAAAGTGCCGCTCACAACTACTGAAAATAATGTTATGATGGCAATGGCGAATGAAATTTTAAATCATTTATTGTTATTTGACATGTGCCGGTCATCTAATCCATGGAAATGACGAGCATGCATGTGCGGAGAGACGCGTTGATAGGCTTTGTTAACCATCAGTGAGCTCACTTATGAAATAGCTCAAAATATACATTAAGGTATGAGCACAGTCCTCTGATTAAATTACATATACTGTATTGTGTTTGTTGAATTCAGAATACACACACAAGTTCCTTCAAAATAGCCAATGAGATGAGCTCCGCACGTCACTGGGGCCGATCAGAAAATAACTTCTGGATCCACCCATCCATCAATCCATCCGATTATCCTCACAAGGGTCGCGGGCGTGCTGGAGCCTACCACAGCTGTCTTCGGTCAGTCGGACAATCTTTCTGAACCTAAATTGCATGGAATTTAGGGATTTCATCATTTCTATAATACCAACAACCAAACAAAAAGATTCAGAAAATCTCGGGAAATTGATGAATATTAGCGGCAAGGCCGAAAACCAACACCGAATCCCAGTGACGATCGTTTCCTCAACCAGCACGGCATTAAAAATTGTGTAAAGGATATTGTTACGTGGGCTCAGGCACATTTCGGATAACCACTGTCACTTTACAGAGTTCATTGTGACAGCTGGTCAGATACAAGCGCAAGTTAAAATTCTACCATGCAAAGCGAAAGCCATACTGTACAACAACAAAAAGCCAGTGTTGTTTGACTTTTGAGGGACAATTTCCACCTCAAATTGGTGTTGTTTTGATTTTTATTCAGATTTTACAATGTTTGGGTAATTTGACTTCCACCGTACATTGACACACAACATACTCAGATTTATAGGCGCAAATAAACTAGGCCAACTTCCCTTCCACATGAGGATTTACCTTTCTCTGTTGAAAAAGCCTCACCCGCAACCACCCCCCCTCCTCCTATCCTGGGAGAGGAAGCCGCACCGGCGCTAAAACAATTCCCCATTTAAAGCATGCTGAATCAATGTGCACCATGGAGACAATGTGGCGGCTGCCAGAGTTATTTACTGTAATGAAGTGGAGCCCCATTGTGAGCAAAGTGCTCTTTGGAGACCTCAAATTTAGCGTACTTGAAAGAAACACGCTCTGAATGCACGTCAGGCTACATAAAGCTTTTTGACCGGCAGCCACAGTGTCGCCCTCCACACTGAAAGAGTCCTGAAGAGATCATATTTACCCACCATTCAGACTGCTTTATGTCCGCCCATCAGCCACATCCTATTCTGATAAATCAAGGACACGGGAGCGGCCGGCACACTGGAGTGTATTTTCCACAGTCAATTCACAGCGGGACCCGACACAAGCCTGGGAAAGCAAATAATGCGGATTAGGCTTCTTCAAAGGGTCGGCCATGAGAAAGATGGAAGCAGGAGGAGCGGACAAAGGTGGGGGTTAGCAATACATACATATCTTATCTGTTATGACACCAAGTTACACACGGAAAGCTTGGATGATGTATGGAACAGCCATGCAAGTGAGGTGTGGGCCTCAGGTGGATCACAGAAAGGAGGAAGATAACATGTTGAGGCATCGGCAGCCCGAGAACACGTCACTTCACGAAGTGTGTGTAGATGTGTGGTGTGTGTGTGTGTGTGCGCATGTGCGTGCACACATGGAAACCGCTTATCTGCAATGTGAGTGCACAAAAAGTTCAATTGAGGATGTCTGTGTCTCATTAAAACCATCCGTGTCCCTCCCGCAGCAGGCAAACACGGATCACTGCGAAGACCGCTTCCCCTAAAATGTGAAGGAATCCGCATTGCAACACACACACACACACACACACACACAGACAACAGACGACACGCCGCAAGTGACCTCGAACCGCAACCATAATACCAGTGAATTGGGCTAATTTCTAAGACATGAGGCAGTTGAGATTGTTATAAATTATGCACATGCACGCGCACACAAATAAAGAACATTATGCCAATACATGATGAGTGTATGTTTGTCTAGCACAGCATTTAGTACACCTACAAATGAAGAGTTAAGAACAGCTGAATGCAGACATTGGCAGATAGAATTGATAACAATTGATATTACACTTTTTTTCCGTAAAAGGAATTCTCGCAATGTACTATTTCTATGCGATATAATACCCTTCACATGATGACTTTGTACTTTATTACAATCCTTGAATTTATCATCACATTATTTTATTCTCATTAAACTCCCAAAATGTTCTTCTACTACTCCAATTTTATTCTCATAAAAATTGTTATGACGCTATATTTTTTTTCATTCCGTTGTGGGCGAAACTTCTGTGAACATGACCTCTCGATGGTGAGGCAGACATGCAAATCACTGGGACACCATGTGCCATTTCAGAGGCAACGGTGATTTGGGTAATTTAAGAGCAAATACAGTCCCATACAAAAAGACAAGACATTTTCTTCTGAGACTGAGGTGGAATCTGTTGAGATGTAAATTATAAAAAGAAAAAATATGTATATTTTGGGACACGCAACATCATAAGTGTGAATGCTTGTCTCTCAGCATTCATAAAATGACTTCCTTTTCTTTTCATCTTTCACGGCATTTCCCCTCCCCGCTCAGCGTCATTTCCCAAAAGTCTCCCCCCGCCCCGTCTCCCCAAATGTGAGCACACACAAGGCATAAACACACACGCGCAAAAACACTTACACATGCCGGCACAGCGTATTTTCCCTAAGGTGGTTTTGGCTGTAAGATGATACCTCATCTCGGAGCATTTCACACATGCCTTCCCGGACAGTTCCCACACTCCCGGCTGCCTCAGTCTGTCTGACCTTTGCCAAGCTCGCCGCCCCTCCGCCCCCAGCCCACTCCTGTGCTGCCTCCCCCCCGCCACCCTCTCCGCTTCTCCCGGGGTCTGCGGTTTGGACAGCTGTGGCCAAGCTGGCTGATCAGCGTGTGGAAAACATCCGCCACACATGGCGGGCTGCACTGGGATCTTTTCATTCAGCCTGGGCTCATCGGCTGCCTGTCTGCCTCTTAGCCTTTTGAAAATTCCAATGTTTTTTTTTTTTTTTTTGGGAGGCGGGGGGGCATCCACAAGTGAACATATGAACATGAAACAGAAAACGAATAAAGATCCAAATCAGGGTCCAACATTAAAATTGTAACCAGTTTTCAAGTACCTTTTAAAAAGCTGCTTTCTTCTTTAAAAATATACATGCAGGATGTCATAAACTACTGGAAGCAAACTTAGCATCTTGATTTTGTTTGGCAATGCAAAACACCATCAACGTATCCTTACTAACACACAATATGTTAAAACATACAAAGCATTTAAAATAAAATGGAGACCTGTGAACTTTTCATCTATGATTGTGTCAAAACAATTGTTGTTTTGTCTGATTACTTATAAGACATGGTGAAAAATTGCTTCCCGGTACTTGAAAGGAACACTCATGAACATGTCATCAAAGCTTAGCTTTCACAAAGTAAAGGTGCGCAGATGACGCCTATGTTCATGTGCCAAATGATTTTTGTTCATGGAAAGCCATTCTCACACCTTGTCAGAAATGATTAGGGCGAGACACGCTCCACTCACGAATGCGGGGAAGGTTTGCATTCAAACCACCAAACTTGGAATTTTGGCTTGGAGCCAGCTCGCTGCGGTAGGTGAGCGATTAATTATGTCTTGCTTCAGGGGATATCTCAGATATCTTTGTGCTTCTCAAAAAAAAAAAATTTTTTTAGGTTACTTGTGTTCCAAATGAGCAATATCCAGTGGAAGGATCTGCAGTTGAATGCTTGAACAACTTATCTTTATGAGATGCATTGAAAACTCTAAATTGGCCACAGGTGTGTTTGAACCCTCTACCTCAAACTACAACATACAAACAACTATATGTTCACACCATGTGGACATTCACAGCACACAGGTTTGGAAAATGATAAGAAGTTTGAAGCTCATGAGTTGTCCAAGAACTAATCGGAGCCAGGAGTCATCCAATCTCAAGTCCAATCAATATGATGAGATTGGAGATGCTGGATTAAGTTGATCTGCCTTATAAGAAACGTACATTAGCTTGAAGTTTTATATTGTCAGGAATCATTGCCCGATTTTAACCATGCCTTGCAAAAGAACTCTGAGAATACCATCATAAATTAAGAAGTGGTCACTTGCATGAGAAGGTAAAATTATCTTTGAAAGCCTTGATACGTATCAGACCACGGTAAGAAAGAGAAGAATGTCTACAATTGGAGAACATTAAGTGCTGTTGCTACTCTCCCTAGGAGTGGCCATCCTGTAAAGGCGACTACAAGTGCACAGCGCGGAATACTCATCTAGCAATAGAAAAATACAAGCATGTCAACAGAAGACCAACAGAATACATCTCTGTTGACAAACTTACAAAAAAATAACACTTAAAACAAAATTAGATGTCACTGGAGGACATCACAGACCACGTGACTGCTGTGCAGAAAAACACTGCTACAGGGCCTTCACGTTCAACGGCAATACACTGGAAAAAAAGATGTGTTGAATTTATTCAATTTTATTTCGTAAAGTTGTTGCCCAAAATAAAATGATCTGGAACCAGTTTTTAAGTGGACATATAGTAAATTCAACCCAAAAATATTTTCAGTGTACTGATAAACTATTGTGGGGACAGATGAAAGTTGAATTGTTTGAAATGAAACACTGTGTGGAGAAAAATGAGATAATGCACATCGCCATCAAACCTTCTTCCCAACAGTGAAGCACGATGGTGGGGGTATTGTGGTTTGGAACTGTTTTCCACACTCTGGGCCTGGACGCATTGCTATCATCAGCAGAAATAAGGAATTGCCAAGACTATCATGACATTTTGCAGGACAACTTCAGACCCATGGACCTCGAACAGAAGAAAATCAACAACCAAATGATTTCAGCATAAGAAAATTCATTTTCCCGGTGTGGCCCAGTCAGAGATCTGAACTCAAACTGATGGAGATGGTGTGAGATGATGTCAAGCGAGCGATTCAAACCAGACATCCCAAAGGTTTTGCTGAAAAATCAATCTTTTGGAAAGAGGAATGATCCAAACTTATTTTGCAATTCTTTCTCAAGCCATGAACAGTTTGGTTGATACTACCAATGTATTCTCATGTTACAGTATTCTTCAATGTATTCTCTAGAAACAGTTTTTCTCCCCCCTTATATTCTTTTTTGTGTGTGTGGCCCTAACTTTCTGGTACATGAGGAAAAGTATAAACATTATTTATGTCCTTTCAGGATCTCTATTTCTTTTTATTTGGTTTTATTTTATATTGGTTATGGTGTTTTTCTTGCACACAACCAGACATCACATATGCCCGTCTGGTTCCAAAGTCCAAGTCCTTACAGATGAGCTACTGCTGCCTGGATTTCTGATTCCATAGTCTTGAAAGCTCGTGGACCTACAATAAAATAAGTTAAGCTCCAGAGGAAAGAGGAGGGTTTTTTTTTTTTTTTTTTTTTTGCAGTGTAGTCCTCATCCCCTGCAGCACGGTACCAATTTAAGGTACATAAACAGGCCCAGTCACACCAGAGCAAACACACGTCCACATACTGCACACTCTGTCCGGACCCTCTCTCAGCATCAGCACCGCCAACGCATGTGAGATTGATTTGCTTTTGGACTTTTTCCAAGACTTTCCCCCCTCTTTTTATACAGACTTCACACACACGCACACGCGCGCGGACACAAACACACACACACACACACATAGACACACACACACACACACACACACTTTGTTAAAACATTGTGCTTTGTATTGGGAGAAGAGATGATCAATTCTTTACTGATCCGTGCTTGTAATCAAACCATGCTATAAAAATCCAAAAAGAGTTGGTAATACCAATTACGTTTTGTCTTCAAAAACAAGCTCAGAAAAATATGAAGTAATAAAGTAACTCACTAATTTGGTACAATAAGGTTGTCTCTTGATTCTTTTTGTTATCTACAGTGCGGTGTTTAGGTTGATGAAACGTCAGTGTGAAAAAAGGACAAGCACACCCCACGTGACTTTTTTCATTGACTTTGTCCCACCCAATCTACCTAACACACTAACGGTCGTCTGCAGTTGAAACAACAAGCCGAGTCAATTTAATATATACAAGGACAATTTACAACAGAGGTCATCGAAAATAGTCCCTCGCCACTTCTGGAAGGGTCTATTACAGGTGAAAGGGGAAAAAGAAGAACCAATGTAGTAGCGGTGTTGTTGTCAGTGAGGCAGGAAGCAGGAACACCTGCTAAAAAGTGGAGAAAGAGAGAGGTTGGTGGCATGCATGGAAGCTCAACTAACAGGCGGGTCGTCACAATAAAATAGAAAAACGTAATTGTCTATCATTAGAGAGACAGAAACCCGAACTACCCTTGAGTTCTCCAAGTCAAGTCCATATACACTGAGTTGCTGTGTAATAGAAGACTGGAATGGAAGTACCGAAAGCTTTAGCTTTGTTGGAATTTGCGAAAGCTTTGTATGTGGAAAGCTTGAGCTTTAGTCCACTTTGCGACGACCGTGTGCTTGAGACAATGCTGAACTCAAACACACAAACGCAATCCTCCAATTCTCAGGTCAGGCTATGAGCGCCATGCCAAGACTTTGGTTACCTCACCTAATCCCGTCTCACACGACATGGAAATGTGATGCAAGTTGTCAGCAACATCATCAAAATTGTGTGTGTTTCTTTTTGTTTGTTTTTGCCCAATTTTTAACAGTACAGCTTTTCCAAATTCCATCTAGGGGTGTAATCCTCCATCTTCCATTGTTCTGTCTATTCATCACACTCCATTTTTCATATTGGCGTAAAGAAGCCAAGGTGAGGAAACTGGAGGAAAGACTTCATAGTGTTTATATCCAAAAGAGAGAACACAAGTGGCGGAGTTGGATCAGAACACTCCGTGTCTGCTTTTGTCTTCGTGCTGTTTGAGACTCGAACACCTATAGACACACACGTTCAATCAACGCAGTGTGTGAGTCATCTTGTCCACGGCGAGGTTTTTCAGGCTTTGCTGCAAATCCCGGCACTCCGTGATGTGTGTGTGTGTGTGTGTGAGTGTGTAGGGGGGGCATGCAAGAATTGCCAGTAACAAGAATTGCACACCCTCCTTCAAAATGCACCCCCACAATCCACACATTCACACTCCCACACCAAAACTCAATAGCCTCCTTTTGGCCTCCTCCTGCTTCTGCTCCTCCTCCTCGCTACTCTCATCTACTCGTCTCCCATGAGGAACTCTTGCTCCAAGCCTCTGGTACGATCGCTCACAAAAAAAAAAAAAAAGAATAAATAAAAAGAAATAATAAATAAAAAAAAGAGAGAAAATAAAGCAGGCATGGCTCAACCATGTGATGGAAAAAGGACACACACAAAAAATAGCGCCAGAGAAGGAACGCAGCAGGAAAAAAAAAAAACATTAAGTTTAAGAGCGAGCGTTTTCTCTCTTGCTCTGAGCTTTTGGTCCAGGCCCACGGTGTCCCTGGATGCCAGAGTCTTTCATCACTTGGCAGCCTGGCTCTGCTGTTCACGTCTACCTCCTGGCTTGAGGCAAGCGAAGCACCGCTTGCTCTCCACACAGAAAACATGAAAAACAAAGGAGAAAGGAGGGCTGAGACAAAGAATGGGAGGTAGGCTTTCATGCAAAAAACACCTCTGGACTCTTCCGTGGTGTCTTCGCTGTGTGCCCTCCTCCTCCTCCTCTTTATCATCATGTTCAAATGTGCTGTAGCTCCACAAGTCAGCCACTTGTTGTTATATAATCTTCAGCCGTGGATCGCTTCC